GAAATTAAGCCCTGGTAATTGGGTTTATTAAGTTCTATGGATCACTCCCTGCTGATGTCAGCCGCGGCACAGGAATTGAACTCAAGTCGCCAGATTTCGTGACTAACTACTGCGCCACCACTCAGAGCCCACTGCCACATTAAACGTGATACATTATCGCAGGCGGAGCGGTGGCGCAGTGGTTAGCACACCGTGCGTTGAGCCCGAACACACAAGGGTTCGGGTTCGCATCCGCTCCAATCCGAGAAGCTCCTGCAGGGCTCCTCTCTCACCGATCCGCATTGACCAGCGTGGTGAAGTATGGCCAAATCACCACGACTGGCACGGCGGGGGGAGACCCTTCATCCAGCAGTGGATTGACAAAAGTGTTATCTAATGGCACCTTCTTTTGCTAGTGTAAAAAATTAAAATAGGTATTTACCCTTTCTGGCAGTTTCAAAGCCCCATGCATATATAGAATATTATCAGAGCATGTTTGTTGATATGTTTTGCCACATGTATGTGTGGTTAATGCAGACTTTAATGCCGTATAAAAGGTATATATTTGGTGTTTGCACAATTTAACATCTGTTGTATTGCCAGATAGAACATTACCTATTCTTAAAAGTCTGTTTTATTATCTATTTTATTTATTACACTTTAGTAAGCGTATATTGCCCCGAACATTCAACACAATCTATTTTACCGATCATTCTGTTCGTGCGAGTGGAAGCAATATTTCCAGGCGCCAAAAGCCAATTTCGACGTCTGCTGGCCAGGACGAGAGGGCTTCAGCCGGGAGAGTTCGTGCCGTTTTGCTGTTGCTCCCACGTGGGATGAGCACAGACTACAACGGTTTAGCCTACGGTCCATCGTTTCAATGTCATGGCCACAATCGCATGACCGTGACTTGTCATTAATACTGTATACCTATGTAGAGGAGTAAAATGGGGACGTGACGTCAGGTGTGCCGTTCAGTGCGATGACGTCACGTCTCCTAGGGTACTTAAGGGAGACCCCGTGACGTAAGCGGGGTCACTGTGGGAATGGGTAGAGTAAGCAGGGTGAAGAGGGAACCAGGGGTAGAAGGGATTGAATAGTGAGTCTGGGGAGAAGCCGGCGGTAGCCGTAGAGGTGCTTCTCTCTCCGCTCGGTGGAGTCGGCAGAGTCCCCGATCCGACACGAGAGAGAGAGAGACCGGAGCTAGCCGGCAGGGACCAGGACTCAGTGTAGCACCCCTAGCCCCTGGGAGTTGTGTACCCTGGTGTGTAATATTGTAACAGCTTTAATAAACCCTGGCGAAAGCCCTTAACTGACCTCCGTCTCCGAGTACGTCCGTGGGAGCTTCTCTACAACTGGTGTCAGAGTGTCTAGGCGTCTTTTTGTATCTCTAGGAGTCTCTGTGAATCTCTACGTGCCTCTGTGCGTCAACTACATGACCCATACGTTTTGGAGTTGCATCGTTACAATCGCACTGCAGCAATTTTTTCCCGTTCATCTAGACGTGGCCATCGACCACGATATCGGCCAGCGTCACCCCCTTGAACGAGGCACTCGTGAAAACCTCTGATCGTGCCGAATAAGTGGCGGCAGCCGAACTCCCCCGCGTGATTCCTTGCCTTGCAGCGCCACCTGTAGGGAAAGGCAGTGCGGGTGTCAACATCACCATCAACAGCAGCTCCCAAAGCAGCAGCAGCTGCAAGCAGCTGCAGTTATCGATCATCAGCAGTGATTCAACATCAGAATCATTCGTCATCCATATGCTGTGCGTGTAAATGTGACCATCATAATAAAACATTGTAATCATATTGAAACGTTGTATTTGGATAGTGCCTTGAGGTGGGACATCCCGATTGCAACGGTGTGGGAACACCTTAAGGCCTCGCGGTGTTTTTGGCGAATGTGTCGGAGTGCTTTGGTACGGAGAGCTTCCGTTTCAATCATTCCCCGCGCGTGGCTGCCCGCTGGGCGTGGGGACAGCTGACGTGGCCCCGTGTCCCTCCCGACACACGACGACTACTCGGCTATGTGCTGCACATGTGCTGGTGTCATACTTCACCCCCTACCCCAACCACGCCTTCGCCAGCCCCAATGATCTTCGATATAGAACACTCATCCACGCACGCCACCCCCTGGCCCCTGTTCATCATAAATCACCCAAATCGTCTTGTGTCAGATTCTAATAATAATAACAACACGATGCTTATATGATCCGAATGTGCGTGTGTCTGGGGAAGGGGATGGTGGGGGAGGGGAGCGGTGGCGCAGTGGTTAGCGCTACGAGTCCGGCGACCCGACTTCGATTCCTGCGCACGGCCAACACCGGTGACAATTGTCCAAACCGACCCTGGGCCTCTCCAAGGTCGACTCAGCCTTTGTGTTTTGTTGATGTGTCGTAGGGACAGGGCGTGTTCTGGTTAGCGCACTGCGCTATGGCACCCCGCAAAAACGGCAAACATCAGTGATGAATATAGAAACCGGTCATAGGCCCCTCCTAGATGCACTCAGCCGGGAGTGAGTGCAGAGCGCGAGGTGTAAGCATCAACAGTGCCGGATTAAGCTAAGTGCGGGGCCTGTAGCATATGTTATAACGGGGCCCTAAATAAAACATTAATATTAAAACACAAAAATGTTTACTCTCTTGTTTTTTAGGTAAAGTCACGTAGAAATAAAATAAATGAATAATAGCATACGACGTTTCGATTGCAACACAAGCAAACGTCATCAGGTGTGTCACGAAAGCTTCAAAACAAGTTTGAACCACCTCCACGGGGAGGATTTCCACACAACTCACGCTTAACTTCACATTGAGCAATCTTTGGAAGAACGTAATCAACCACGTAAAGTGTTGTGTTAGCTGACTCTCTGTGTTGCATTGTATTACATTTCTAAGTTTACTAGGCTTCATCTTCTTGGTTATTTCGGTAAAGTCACGTAGAATGGAAATAATAAAATAATAAATATGCTAAATTCCTCTTGATATGCAATTTCTTTTGTCAAGGCGCCCTTCCTACCTCCATCCCAGCTTAAATAGTCGCTCCAAGCCTGGAGTGTGTCATTCAGACTCTGTCTTCTCGACAGACCTGTTCTTCACCTGAGGACGGCTGCTTGCGTTGTGGCCGAAACGTCGCGAGAATTATTTTATAATGTTTTATTTTTATTTTTTTATTATTTCCATTCTACTTGACTTACCGAAAGAACCAAGAAGATGAATTCCTGCAGTCATGAAAGCTTTAAATCGAAATTTACTAGGCTTGTTTTCTCAAACTTCCAATTTCTCTCCCCCTGCCGCTCTCATTGACATGCTAATTTCTCTGCCCCCCCCCCCTCTCTATATACTGTAATGCCTCGTCAGAGTCCTTGTTTCTCTGTCTGTGTGTCTCTCTCTGCGTCTCTGTGTGTCTCTCTCTGCTTGTGCCTGTTTCTCCCCCGTGTCTCTCTCCGTGTCTGTTTGTCTCTCTCTCTTTATGTCTCTCTCCGAGCTTACATTCATTCTCATCTGATGACGGTTGCTTGTGTTGCAATCGAAACGTCGTATTCTATTATTTATTTTATTTCTACGTGACTTTACCCAAAGAACCAAAGAGTAATTCCTGCAGTCACGAAAGCTTCAACTCACGATTTTTTTACTTGCATAGTAAAGTAATTGTATTTTTTTCTTTTGCTATACAGCCAGATAATACGATAAATCGCTAACCTTGAACACCCAGCCGTTCATAAAAGTTGAAGGCAGTATAGTACTATAATAATAGAGCAAGTGCAGAATCACTGAACCGGAATTGGTAGCTTGAAAGCATTTAGCGCGGGGCACTTGAAAGTGCGGGGCCCGTAGCAAATGCAACGTTTACTACGAGGATAATCCGACACTGAGCATCAATTACTGGGGAGACAAAGGCGACGCAGACATGGTTCTGACCCCACTGCCGCCTCATTCGTCATGCACGCCTCATAATAGGGTGCTCGCGAACAGCACCCGCCACAGCATTCTGCACGAGTTTTACGGGTCGACCGTAGATTTTGTTTTGCGTGCGAAAAGGCCGTGCGTTCTTGTTACACAGCACGCGCATCCTCAGCAACATCAACAACACGTGGAGCCATTCTACTTGCTCGGCCCTTTGCCCAAGGTCTGCAAGTGCGGAGATAGAGGAACGCTCACTCCTTTGCCCGCCACGTGCGTTTCAGGGACTCACCTGCGGGTGATAACGAGAGCGAACGGCACGCACATTTCATGGCCCCCATCCATCAATTTATTTGTCTTGTCTGTGCATCCATTCATACTTCCATTAAAACGTTCAGTCATCCACCCATCCATCCATCCACCCACCCATCCATCCACCCATCCATCCATCCACCCATTCATCCACCCACCCATCCACCCATCCACCCATTCATCCGATCATAATTCACTCCGCTGCGACTGTGCAATTGTCCTGCGGAATTGCGACACGGAAATGGATCTGGCATCGGGTCCCCGTGCCAGGCAGATGCGTCGTGTGTCGGGCATGGCATGGCTCGTGACAGATGCAGCAGTAGTCGCGCACGCCAAGCGTGCTGCCTGCCACACGCGCAACACGCGCTACTGGCACGCCGGGAATACCGACGCATACCCCCACGCACAGACAGATTCCCCGTGTAGCCCACACTGCCTTTTGGGGCAAGTGCTCTTAGCAAGTATTGATGAAAGCAGGCACGGCAACCAAAGTGGATAGTGTGGTACTAGCATGCCCGGCCGCCCGGCTTTGTCACCCCTCGTGCTGATGTATTAAACATTAGCACCGTGGTCCTCATTTAAGGTTGAATCAATGTATGTGGGGGGGGGGGGGGGGGGCGCAGGACCGGTTCAGATATCACTTCACCACTGATGTCAGCCGCTGCTGGGAATCGAACCCAGGTCGCCAAGGTTCACAGCGAAGTGCGCCAACCACTCTCCCCGCTGCGCCCACTCAACGTTCTCGGATATTTATCAAATAATAATGATGATGATGATGCACGTTATTGCACTGCAGCAATGAGGTGTAAACAGTCCGGTATTTATTGCAGGATTACGTTCATGTTTAAAACAATTAATTAAACAAAACAAATCTCGCAAAACTATTGTCACGACTACATTTTTTTTAAAAACAAAGACCTTTTTATTAAACATGCTATTCTTATAAAACTATTTCATGTAAAACTGCTATAAATTTTTTACAAAATTAGTTTTTACTGTAAAACGAGATGCTTTCCGTCGCCTGCTTTACAAAGCTAAAAACCACAAAGCCACGCGATTCCCCCAAGTACTGAGTAAAGCGAGCGGCGTTAAAAAAATAAAAGCTCACCACGTACTACGCGCGCGTGTCATGCATGTTTACAATTCATGTAAAATACTAAAAAAGAGTTCACAATATTGACCTAAGCTTGCTTACACACGAAATACTATTTTTTGGTTTTCCTTCCATAGACACTGCTGAAACCCAGGCCACCCTCGTAAGACAGCAGGCCAGAGGTGCAGCCCCCTAACTCCTTGCTCACACTACTGCTCGCAGCTAGAGCCTCCACTGCGAGCGAGGTCTTTTTGGCTATTCACCCGCATTGGCAAGGTGGCGTCTTGGAAGTCGTGGAAGTACCCACAGTTTACCCCACCACACGCACCCCTACGAATTAACTAAATACAGTGTAGCAATTTCTACCGCTGGGTGAACAAAGGTGGAATGGGGTGGTGGATTTCAGAATCTCGCACCCTTGGCTCAACTGCCGAGCCGGGAGATAAAAATCCAACCTCTGGATTGCAAGTCCGGCACGCTGCTGGCCGTTAACACCGCTGTAGCAGCTTCGTTCTGTCTCAAGTTGGCCACCAAAGAGGTTTGCTCGCTGCGGCAAGCCACCAAACTCGGCTCAGAATCCAGCGATCCGATCCCACGGGCCCCCCATGGCTTCGCGAGATGAAATTGCACGCGGAAAGCGAAACCCGGTTCCCCGTTCGATTCACATTGCTCAGCAGCAGGGGAAGAGGTTGCCGGGGGGAAGGGGGAGGGTGGGGTGAGGGGCTACTTGCGAATGGGACCCGCCGAGTTTAACGCGTAGGCTTTCGCGACCAATATTCATTCGTAATAAAGTAGTTTTTTTTGGGGGGGGGGTTAGACCGCGTAAAGATAAATGTGTCGTTAACTCACCAATGACCACCGGTCCCGGTACCTGGTGGTCATCGGTTACACTACAGAGAAGGGACTGCACAGATCGCCCCACCCCCCCCCCCCCAACTTTCAAGCTCAAATGCTGCAGCTGTGGCTACAACTACTGGATGCTACTGGCTCGGTAGCGGGCGCGGCGTTGTGGCGACGCTGTGCATCGAAATATCCCGTCGCCGGAACGGTCAGCGACGGACTGCAAACGGCAGCAGCGACCGTCGCCCCTTAATGTGCGGAGCCTTGGCAGGACCCTCCTGAAAAAGAGTCTCAAGACTCAGCGAGGCTTTCCTGGGTGAAGTAACGTAGTAGTAGTAATAAGAATACAGACACTAACACAGTACAAACCTTTAGAAATAAACAGACTTAAATACCATTTTGGCCAAAATGTTTGTACCCAACTACCTACAGTGATGGAGACTGCTGCTCGGAACGAACTCGCGATCATCCAGGTTCCTGGCTGTGATCACTGCACGTGACAATAAGTCCACAATCTCACCGGTCACAGTTAACGGTATATATATTTACGTGTATATAACACCGTGATAAAAACCAGCGACAACAATAGACTTCGACTGAAGAATAAAAATAACAAGTCAGATAGGCAGGCACATATAAATAAATAGAACTTGCAGTTAATGCAAAACTGTGCCCTAACCCAGCTTCAGTCATGAATTAAGGGGGTGGTGACCCTGGACAACAGCTTGATAACCCACGTGGATATGTATTCTTATTTATTTAAGATAACCAGGCTGGATGGCTCAGCGGTGGAGCAAGCGGCTCACGATTGGAAGGTTCCCAGTTTAAATCCTGCTTGGGTGTTGACTCGGGCACATCATCTGTCCAGAGTCGATCAAATGAGTGCCACTTTGTGGGAAGTCAACATTGGTCATTCTATAAATACACAAAACTGCGTCGTAGGTACGTGGAATTTCCACCACTGGCACGGGGATGTAAACAAGAAGGTGAGCACCACTTCAATGCTTAGTCTGGCAGAAAGTCACTGACTTCTTTTGACTTACGGTACCCCATGCTAGTTTCGCTGGAAGACTAACCCAGTCCACCTCCTATGGTATCATCTCCACTCGCAGAAGGCTGCAGAATGAATTAGATTACGTGGGGTATCACATTGTCCCAGGACATACCTCGATTTGTCGCCAAGCTTTGTGCGTGGCCTGGAATCGAACTCGGGTCGCCAGGATCACAGGACGGTGGTCGAACCACTCCACGCCACGCTCTCTCTACCACACAACCCACGGGGGGGGGGGGGGGGTCTCTCCTCCCTCAGCATCACCGTCACCTAATATTCATACTGCGCCTCCCATGGGGCACATCTCGGGGTGCCCTGCCACAGGGGACCCCTGGTGACAGCTGACCCTGTGTGCAGCACACTGCCACTGCAGCAGCGGTCAGCAGGTGACCACTGGTGTGCCAGGTGGGTTGCGAGTCTCTTGTAAAAAATAAAAAAAGATTGCAAACGTCGCCCGTGACGCCGGTACACCGCGGCGTACCCTCTTGTCAAACGACGTCACGGAATCTTTCAACGTCCAACGTGAAGCTGCCGGCGCTTCGGGGCATTTACGCTCGATTGTACACCGCCAGCATTGACCGGTGTGGGGGGGGCGGATTGCGGCTGCCGGGCTCGAACCGCGAACATCTGCGACAAGCGGCTGCCGCTCGTCCGCGTCATCGCCCTCCCCGTGGCTCAGCCGCCGCTGCCGTCGTCGTCGTCGTACTCCTCGCACGTCGCAACTCGCCGTCGCGACAGACGATCTCGCAACGCCGATGCGTCGCCGGCCTCAGCAGACGGCGCCGGGAAGCGGCGGCCGTGTCGGGTCGTCCGCCCGGCCGCCGCCGCGCGCCGCTCGGCTGGCCCTCTCCCTCACGGAGGCGCGCCTCTTCTCCGACTCCGAGGGGCCACTCGACTGCATCTCCATCAGCTTCGTTATCAGGAACTGCTTGTCCTTGGCCTCCTGCGGTTTTCGTGAATCGCGCGCACGTGCGGGAAAGGCGGTGCGCAAAGGGGGAGGGAGAGGGTGGTTACGTGGGTGGCCGTTCGCGCGATTGTGCCAATCACTTCCATTGAGGTGGGCTCCAAAACCTTGAGAATTAGAATCAGAATATTTATTTATACCGGCTGCACGGTCATCTCATGGCTACCGCTGCGGCCCAGGGAGGAGGGGATGACAGCGTTCACAAATCTACCCGATCCGTCATCCCGTGCATCCAAAGCGCCACCACGTGGTAGTGTGAGAGAATTAGCCGGGCGGTGGTGGAGGTGGTGGCTATGCTGCTGCACGCAGCGAGGATTGCACAAATGTTGCGAAACTGCCTTCCTCGTGGGAGTCGAGTCGGTGCTATAGCCTCGCTAGGCCAGGAGATGGCGGTAGAGCAAAAATGTCAACTCCACCTGTTCCATAATACAGTTTTTTTGTGTTAGATCGCGTAAAGATATACAAGTGTCGTTAAACCAGCTACCACCCGACACAGTCAATTAGTAAGGTTTGTCACGTAAACGGAACATGCCAATTCGTCACTAGTACGGCACACCGGTGTGTTGGAGAGCAAAGCCACAACATTTACAATCTGAATACGACGTTTGGCCAGTAATTACAACTATCTTCATCAGGCAACAGCCAGATTTTTATATTTACGCGATCTAACCCAAAAAACCTGTATTATGGATGATATCGGTCACGAAAGCCCACGTGTAAACTCCACCTGTTCCGTCCGTATGTGATAGACCAGAGGTCGGGCACAACCTGCGACTCCAGGGCCGCACGCGGTTCTTCAAGGACTGCTTCGTGACGTTACGTATGAAGGACCGTCTCGTAGTCACATGCACTGCGGCTCTTGAAATATTGCATTTCTGACCGAATTCGGAAGAAGAAAATGTCTCTTCTTGCTATTTTGGTTGCTGATCCCTGGGCCAGACCCGTGGCTGGCTGGGACATACATCTGTGGATTTTCCCCTGGGTGCTCCTGCTTCCTCCCACATGTAAACACTCATTAGTTGCAGGATAACACCACCCTAATACACAGAGAACAGCAGAGCTTGGGCAACTGTTGCCGCCGGCCAAGGTCTGGTCGGAATGGAAGAGTAGCCCAGAAATCCCCTGGAGGGGGCCCTTCCGCCAGCAGTGGCGAGAGCAAGCAGATGCAGGGGTTGCGCCTTGACCTTCATGACACAAAGCAATGATGCCCTCGTTAACACTGACAGCGGGAGGTGGGTGGAAGCTGCGCACGGGCAACCGTCACTCACCATGGCCAGCTGTTCCCTCAGCTGGTGGATCACTCGCTTGTGCGCGCCCGCCAGCGCGATGAGGTAGAACAACACAAGGCTGCATGCGTCACAAACGAGCACACACACGCACATTGAACGGCATGCTTGCATGTACATACACACAAAGACAAAGATCCCCCATGCAGCCTACACACCCTGCTGGGGCAAGTGCTGTTCAGGAGAACCCATTAAAGGCTGGCATGGAGCACGAGGTGGGTGGTGTGGCCGACACCAAGCCCAACCGGTCACCTTTGTCTCTCCGAGTGTTGATGTTTACATACTTCGCTGGGTACTCATTTAAGGCTGAGTGGACCTTGGGGAGGCCCAGGACAGGTTCAGATATTTGTCACTGGTGTTGGCTGTGAGCGGGAATCAGACTTGAGTCGCCGGGTTCGTAGCGCAGTGAGGAACACGGTGATTGCCAACTCCAAATCGATCCGGGATGGGATTTGGAGCCGGTGTAGGAGGGATCTAAGTAACAGGAGGAATCGCTTGGGAGCGGGGGCGGGAGGGAGGGGTGAAGGGGGATGGCCTCACCAGATGAGGATGAAGAGGGGCACGGCGAACGCCTCCGAGCTGAGCACGTTGAGCAGCTTCTGCGCCGCGGGTGGCAGCGACCGCATGGATGCGGGCACCACGTCCCAGACGCGGACCGCCCCACGGAACGGCCCGCACGACTGCGACGGGGCCATGCTGCTCACGCACACGCGCACAAACACGCGTGCGCACACGCGCACACACACGCGCAGAGACAAAGATATTCCTTGAATAGCTTTAACGGATACACGCACATGTGTACACATGCACAAAGACCCCCTGTGTAGCTTTTATCAAAGACAAGCACCCTCAAACACACACACACACACAAAGGTCTTATGTTTATCCATTAACAGACATACATATACAAAGATCCCCCGTATAGCCTTAACAGACTGTACGGGCAAGTGCTGTTAGCGAGCACATATGAAGGCCGGAACAGTCCACGAGGGGGTAGGAAGCCAGCACCACGCCCGACCACCGCCTTTGTCTCCCCTGTGGTGATGTTTGCACATTGCACCAGGTACTCATTTGAGGCTGAGTCGACCTAGGGAAGGCCCAGGACCGGCTCAGATAATCGTCACTGGTGTTAGCCGTGAACGGCAATCGAACACGAGTTGCCAGGTTCATAGCGCAGCGCGCTAACCGCTACACTATTGCTCCCTATATATATACAAAGATAAGACAAAAATCCCCCGTATAGCCTTAACAGACTGTAGGGGCAAGTGCTGTTAGCGAGCACCTATGAAGGCCAGAACGGTACACGAGGGGGTGGGTGGCCAGCGCCACGCCCGACCGCCTTTGTCTCCCCAGTGGCTATGTTTACACACCGCACCAGGTACTCATTTAAGGCTGAGTCGACCTAGGGGAGGCCCAGGACCGGTTCAGATAATCGTCACTGGCGTTAGCCGTGAGCGGGAATCGAACCCGGGTCGCCAGATTCATAGCGCAGCGCGCTAACCGCTGCACTATCGCTCCCCTTATATATACACACGCACACACACATGCACTCCCACTCATACAAAGAGAAAGATCTCTAATATAACCATACAAACTGTTTGGGCAAGTTCTGTTAGCGAGCACCTCTGAAAGCCAATAGCACGAGGGGGGTGGTGTGGCTGGAACCACACTCGGCAGCCTTAGTTTCCCCAGTGCTGATGTTCACACACCGCATTCCAGGCACTCATTTGAGGCTGAGTCGACCTAGGCGAAGCCAAGGAGCAATTCAGATAACCGTCACTCGTGTTCGCCGTGAGCGGGAATCGAACTCGGGTTTCCGGGTTCGTAGTGCAGCATGCAAACTCCACCGCACACTTACAAACGCACACAAAGATCCTCTGTGTAACTACCGAGTGTGCGGGATAATCAACTCAACCGGCAGCCACAGGCCGAATGGGCCCATGCACTAGGACACGAAGAGGCGGGGAGAAAATTGGACAAAGTGGAGCCCCCCCCCCCCATTTCATCCCTGGCACCAGGGGCCACGCTAACCATGGTATGCCGCTGGTGTGCAGGCCCCCATCCAGCAGTGGATCGACATAACAGCCGTACCCTAAGACGTTTACGACAGCCACTTCTCGATTTAAAGCTTTCGTGACTGCAGGGATTCATCTTCTTGGTTCTTTCGGTAAAGTCACATAGAAGGAAAATAATAAAATAATAAGAATAAAACATAATAAAATAATTCTCACGACGTTTCGGCCACAACGCAAGCAGCCGTCCTTAGGACGGCTGTTTTATTTTTATTATTTTATTATTTCCCTTCTACGTGACTTTACCGAAAGAACCAAGAAGATGACAGCCACTTCCCCCCATCCCTTTAATAGACCCTTTCCCCCATCCCCCGGACGCGAAGTTTAGTGGAGCAGGTGGTGGTCGTCCCTGGATGACGATGGTCACCTGGCGACGCTGTAGCCGACGGGCACTGCCGCCAGCACCAGGCCCAAGAGCAGCACGAGCAGGAAGAAGAAGTTGGAGCTGGAGGCGCGGAACGGGCGCACAGAGGGGAGGCAGTTCTCAAAGAGACTCAGCTGCACACGGAGACACAGACACACGAGAAACGTGGCACGTGGAGACAGGGCAACACGGAGACACGGACACACGAAAGACACGGCACGTGGAGACAGGGCAACACGGAGACACGGACACACGAGATACATGGCACGTGGAGACGTGCAAAAATGAACACATGTAGACATGGGCACACGGACACACAGACACACGGAGACTCAGACACGTGGAGACAGGGCAACGTGGAGACAAGGCAACGTGGAGAGAGGGCAACATGGAGACACGGACGCACAGAAACATGGACACGCACACAGACACATGAACACACGAACACACGGACACACGGCATCATTGTTACCGTTGTGGACAAAGTTAGAGAAAAAGACGTTTGTCGACTCCGCGACTGTTTGAGACAGTGATAACGACGAGGAGTGAACGCAAACCACCGAGCATGTCGATACCTACGACTGCTGTGACCGTGACGAAACGACATCAACACAAATCGGGTCCGACATTGCAGGAGACTGCAGCGCACCAATGAAGATCAAACACGGCAATTGGCCAAATACATTATGTATATAAGATTACCGAGTACACTGATTAATGGTGGCGTGATGTTAACTACCTCGCCTGGTAAACATGAGGTTGTGGGTTTGATCCCGACCCTAACGCCGATATATTTGGAGTTTGCATGTTCTCCCTGTGGTCATGTGGATTTATCTCTGGGTCTTCCGGTTTTTCCCTACACCTTTAGAAACACGTGTTTAGGGTATTTGCCTGCTGTAAATTTGAACACATGATCAGCCACTTCGTGGGGCTATCATTTGTGGCCAAGTCACTTGCGAAAAAGAGCTGTGTAGATATTGGTGGGTGGGGGGGGATTGGGCACACATATCACCGCAACGTTTCACAACTCAAGAGTGCTTAGGCAACCAGACTAAGAGAGAGAGAGAGACTCTGCAAAATCCACAGACTCACACTCGACTTGAACTCACTCCAGCGGCTTCATCGACCAGACTCAGTGGCAGATCCAGGGAGAGATCTTTAACTCGGTGACTCTGACTTAATCAACGTTGCCTGGAATCAAGACCCTTCCCTACCAATTCTAGATTTGAAGCTTTCGTGACTGCAAGGATTCATACTCTTAGGTCTTTTCGGTAAAGTCACGTAGGTAAAAATAAATAATAATAAATAATAATAGAAATAATAATAGAAATAAAATAATAAATCACGACGTTTCGGAGGCAACACAAGTCTCCGTCATCAGGTGGGACCGTCACAGCTAAATTTACTGTCTCAAGTGAGGCGAAATTCCAAAAGACAAGCTCTTAAATACAAGTTAAGGGGGAGAAGGGGGGGCTTATCTGAATGTGGTAGCCAATGAATAGAACGTGTTGGTGGGGGTGGGCGGGGCTAAAAGAGAACAATAGGTGCACTTGGGGTTAAGTTCCATTCATTGGCTACCACATTAAGATAAGCCCCTCCCCCCCCTCCCCCTTAACTTTAAGCGCTTGTCTCTTGGAATTTTGCCTCACTTGATACAGTAAATCTGGCTGTGACGGTCCCACCTGATGACGGAGACTTGTGTTGCCTCCGAAACATCGTGATTTTTATTATTTTATTTCTATTATTATTTCTATTATTTTTATTATTTATTTTTACTTACCTTCCCTACCAAGTCACCCCCCCTCCCCCTGCCACCCCCCCCACCACCAGCCATCCCCCCCCGATCCCCGCCGAGCCACACACACACAGCACCGCCGCATGAACCGACCTTCTTCAGGTAGAAGAAGATGATGTACTTGATCATGGCGATGAGGGGGATGAGCGGGGAGAAAAAGGCACCGATCCAGCAAATGGTCTGTGAGTAGACGATGGAGAGCACGTTCTGCGGGATGGAGAACTCCTGCGTGCCCACCAGCTGGACGATCTTGAACGGGCAGTAGGTCACGATGATCCTGTAATGACCACAGCAACAACATCAACAAACACAAGCCGGGCGGTGCTGGCAGAGGCGCCAACGGCTCAATGGAGTAACGAGTGGAAATACCGTTGCCCAAATGAATATAGGGTCACAGAACTCGGGAAATTTTTGGCGCCGGTTCTGGCTGCGTTCCCACTCTTGGCTGTGCATTCCAGCGCCTCTAAATCCGAAGCAAAAGCCGTGTTTATTTGTTGCTTGTTTTAGTTTTCTTCACAAAAGGGGTGCTTCAGAGGCACGCCCGTGCGTGATCACGGACGGAACTCACTTGCGTGGGAACTCAATGAACAGGACCATGGCCACAAAGATGATGAAGTCGAAGATGGTCAGCTTGTACATCTCCTGGCCCACGCGGTTCTCCCAACACTGCGGCGCAAGCACACAGACAAAAAGATCCCCCCAAAACAGACTGTCGGCAAGTGATCTTGTGAGCACCCATTTCGCTTAGTAAGACTCGCGTGGTGGTGTGGGGTGGAGGGTGTTCACACGTGCTTGTGGTGGTGTGATGTGTTTACACACAGTAGTGTGGTGCCTTGGCACTTGGTGCGGATGGCGTGAGTATGTGCATGTGACGTATGTCACTGTGTGTACATGCATGTGTGTATGCACGTGTGGTACAGGAGGACGTGGAGCTGAGTGGACTTGCCGATGACTGGTACCAGCGGTGTCAAGATCGGCCTCAGTGGAGGAGGCTCGCGAAGGACGCTACTGGGCAGTTGGAGGCAGTTGCCCTCCAACAACAACGGAGGGCGGAGGAGCGACGCTCACAACAACGAGCGGAGCGCCGGGTGGCTAAAGCACAGCAAGTTGGTACAGTAGGGGGCACAGGTGGTGCATCAGCCAGTCATCTCGGACATCTCAGTCAGTCGACCCGTGGCACCTGGGCCTGCCCCGTGACCTCCTGTCAGCGGGCGTTCGACACTTCACATGGCCTCAAGGTGCACTTGGCCTGGCACAAGCGTCGTGGTGACGTCACCGCCACTTAGTGGCGAATGGCGGTTGTTGTTGTTGTTGTATGCACGTATATATGCATATATATCTATGTGTGCGTGCGCGTGTCTGTGGGTGTTCCTATGTGCGTGTTTATGCCAATATCTGAACCGGTCCTGGGCCTCACCGAGATCAACTCAGCCTTAAATGAGTACCTGGTATAATAAAAACATCAGCATTGGAGAGACAAAGGCAGCCAGACGTGGTGCTGGCCACCAACTCCCTAATGTGTCACGCTGGCCTTAATAGGTGGTCGCTAACAGCACTTGCTCCTCCAGTCTGTTACAGGCTATACGCAGGATCTTTTGTCTTTGTGTCTGTGCGTCCTGCATGGCCGCGTGCGCATATGGACAGTTTATATTTTGTGTTGATGCGTGCGTGTGCGTGCGTGTGTGTTTGCGCGCACATACGGGATATGTTTGTGTGCGTGTGTACGTGCGTATGTGTACGTGTGTGCGTGGGTATGTGTGTGTGCACGTACGAGGTGTGCTTTGTGTGCGCGTGCGCACGTGTGTGTGTGTTTGTGTGCACACGCACGGGGTATGTCTTGTGGTTGTATCCGCACGGCTCACACACGACTCCGTCGCAGCGCACGATCTGGATCCAGAGGGAGACGAGCAGCACTGCGATGCTGGCGAGTTTCAGGAACACCGTCCTGGAGCACAAAGACAACGATCCCCCAAAGAGCCTTCACACAAGTTTTGGAGCAAGTGCTGTTATTGAGCTCCTTTGAGGGCCGGCAAAGGTACACGAGGGGGTGGGTGGACAGCACCACGCACCGCCACCTTTGTCTCCCCAGTATTGGTGTTAACGCACTCCACACCGGGTACTCATTTAAGGCTGTGTCGAGCAAGGGGGGGGGGGCGATTCAGATAATCGTCACTGGTGTTGGCCGTGAGCGGGAATCAAACCCGAGCACATCGCACTAAACGCTATAACTACCACTCCCCATACACATACACAACAACTGCCTTTAACCACTAAGTGGTGGTGACATCACCACGGTGCTAGTGCCATGCTAGGTGCACTTTAAGGCCACGTGAAGTATGGAAGGTGCCGCTGGAAGGTCATGGAACAGACCTTGGTGCCATTCGTTGACTAAGACGACTGACAGATGCACCAACTGTGTTCCCGACTGTGCCAACTCTACGCTCGTTGTTGTGAGCGTCGCTCCTCTGCCCTCCGTTGTTGTCTTTTACGAGGCCTCCTCCAGAGGCCTATCTTGACACAAAGACAAAGATCCCCCATATAGCCTTAACAGACTGTAGGGGCAAGTGCTGTTAGCGAGCACCTATGAAGGCCGGAACGGCACACGAGGGGGTAGATGGCCAGCACCACGCCCTTTGTCTCCCTGGTGACGATGTTTACACACCGCACCGGGTACTCATTTGAGGCTGAGTCGACCTAGGGGAGGGCCTGGGACCGGTTCAGATAATCGTCACTGGTGTTGGCCGTGAGCGGGAATCGAACCCGTGTCTCCGGGTTCATAGCGCAGCGCGCTAACCGCTACACTACCGCTCCCCACACACACATGCGTACATGCACGGTCAACAATCTACATTGTGGTGCGGACCGGATGAGCAGGAGCTTGATCTCGAAGTCGGGCGTGTAGTCCTCGAACGTGATGATGACCTCAAAGAGCACGGGCATGAGGAAGTTGGCGGCTGTGATGACGATCGATGGCAGGTACTCGACGACGAGGCTCACGATGAACCGGCTCTTCTGTTCCGTTGCCGCCTGCATGACCCCGCGAACGACACACGAGGGGGTGGGGGTGTGTGCGCGGAGTGTCGTGGTTAGCGCGCTGCGCTACGAACCTGGCGACCCGGGTTCGATTTCCGCTCACGGTCAACATCAGTGACGATTATCTGAACCGGTCTTGGGCCTCCCCTAGGTCGACTCAGCCTCAAATGAATACCTGGTGTGATGTGCAAATATCACCATTAGGCGTGGTGCTGGCCACCCACCCAATTGTGTGCTGTCTCAGCCTTCGAAGGTGCTCGCTAAAAGCACTGTTCAGGCCAGGGGTCAGCAACTAAATATTTTGAGAGCCGCAATGCATGTGAATAGAAGACGGTCCTCAATGAATAACGTTAAACCATATTGTTTTCAATCCCCTATGTCAAGAGCAGCACATGCACAAATCATCGTTGGGCTTCTAAATGTTCACCGCCAATCGAAAATAATTAGGAGGGGTTTTTGTTGTTGTTGTAGTTGTTGGCAATGCATGTGGCTTCGGTGTGCCAAGTTGCCGACCCCTGTTTTAGGCTATGGGGGAGGGGGGGGAGGATCTTTGTCTTATGTACACAGCCTGGTGCTGCTAGCCCCAGCGGTGCCGGTGGCACACGTACATGCTGCATGAGCAGCGCCTGCGAGTCGATGGTGGCCACGTAGATGCTGTAGAAGGAGGCTGCCAGCAGGCCGAGAACAACCACGTTGAGAAGCACGCGCAGCGAGTAGATGCGCAGACGCTCCATCGCGCTGCGCCCGCGGATGTTGCTCCGGATCTTCTCCTCCTCCAGGTCGGCCTGGCAAACGGAGAAGCGTCGTCAAATCCGTCAACGTCGTCACCGCCGTCACCGTTGTCACCGTCAGCGATGATCGAATCCCCGCTGCTGAAACTATCGCTTGTACCGCGGACCGGGTCACCATTCACAACACTCGCGTGTGCGGAACGAGGCAGGTAAGCCGCGAGGACCGTGCCAAGCCCTCCTGACTCCCCCACCCCCATGGTGATCACGCAATGTTGCGCCAACAACGGTTTCCAACGTTAAATTTCGATTTAAAGCTTTCGTGACTGCAGGGATTCATCTTCTTGGTTCTTTCGGTAAAGTCACGTAGAAGGGAAATAATAAAATATTAAAAATAAAACAATAAAACAATTCTCACGACGTTTCGGCCACAACGCAAGCAGCCGTCCTCAGGTGAAAAACAGGTCTGTCGGAAAGTCATTCAGACGCTGTCTTTCCGACAGACCTGTTCTTCACCTGAGGACGGCTGCTTGCGTTGTGGCCGAAACGTCGTGAGAATTATTTTATTATGTTTTATATTTATTATTTTATTATGTCCCTTGTACGTGACTTTACCGAAAGAACCGAGAAGAGGTTTCCAACGTTGTTGGTGCAACATTGCGTGATCACCGTTCCACGTTTACTGGGGGGGGAGACGCGTCTCACCTGCAGCTCGAAGCTGATGCTGCTCTGCTTGAGGGCGGCGGCGTCAGGGTCGCTGATGCAGAAGTCCCAGCCGCTAAACACCTTGTTGCAGTAGTTGCAGAAGCGCTCCTCCGTCTGCACCAGGCTGTGCTTGAAGCCCTCGGCCGACCTCAACACCATCGACAATCATCGTCAACAGCCGCCACCACCGGTGTTGTCTGCTACACCGACATTGTCCGTTTACTCGATGTCAGTTGTTTGCTAGATCATCGTCGTCACCATCATCATCAACTGTTCACTCGCTAATAAGCCTCATCATCGCAAGGTGTCGTGTGGGCTGTCCCGTTTACCGCTGAACTTCAGAACGTGCAGGCCGGTTCGGCGTTCATTTTATTTAGAGAGGGGCGCCAGCAGCAGCAGCGCCGCTGTTTTTATTGACGCCGTTACTCGCGCCGCGGAGAACCGCAACGGCACGGCCGCCGTCGCTCTGCGATAGCGGTGCCAGACTGGTGCCGCACACGCCCCTCCCACCGCCGCACGGCTTAGTGGGAGCCTCAGTACGTCTTCCGAATTGGAAGTCGTATCGGTGTAGTTATTTAATTTTATTTCTTCGTTGCAAGTTTGCCCGATCCAACATGATCAACCACCAATTGTAAATTTGATCGTCTCTTTACTACATCGTCATCTCACGTAATAATTTGGTTCACTAGGTCTTCGTTGTTTGTTGACTAGATCATCATCGATCATCATCACCACGATCCGTTGATGAAATCATCATGAACTATCATTGTCAACTCTCATCATCGTTAACTATCGTCACCAAATGGCTAATAAATTCATCATCATCATCAGTATACGATGCAAACCCATTATGCGTTGTGGAGAATTATGAGTCAAATACAAGCAGAACTCTGTCCCGTGTCTGCGCATATAAATAAGGAAATTAAGTTAATGAGACCCGGAAGATCGATTCCCACTCGCGGCCAACACCAGTGACAATTACCTGACTTGGCCCTGGGCCTCACCTAGATCAACTCAGCCTTAAATGAGAATCTGGTACAATAAAAACATCAGCATCGGAGAGACAAAGGCAGGCAGACGTGGTGCTGGCCACCCACTCCCTAATATGCCACGCTGGCCTTAATAGGTGCTCGCTAACAGCACTTGCTCCAACCAGTCCACTGAAGGCTATCCGGGGGGATGTTTGTCGGTGCTCGCTAACAGAACGTGCCTCAACCAGTCCATTAAAAGCTATCCGGGGGGATCTCTGTCGGTGCTCGCGAACAGCAATAGCCCCAGCATCAGTCTGTTGTAGGCTATACTCGGGGACCTGGTGTCTTGTTTCCGCTACTTGGGCGTCTACCCACCTCTTGACGATCCACACGAGGCTGAGCACGAGGTAGGCGAGCGTCGTGAGCAGGTAGGCGAGCGGGAGGTTGTAGCGCACGTCCGCTGGCAGGTCGTACGAGCCCGTGCCGTAGAACCCGTAGAAAAGGCTGGTGGGCTCCAGGAATCCCTGCCGTGCGAACGAGAGAGAACCCCTCCCTGGTGACGCTTCGTGCCCCAAGAGTGACGGGGCTCCTGGGTCCGATTCTCCCGACCCGGGTGCACCCTACCCCCCCCCTCCCGCCACCCCTTCTGCATGAGTTCTCCAGTGTTCTCTCATCGGTAAAACACCACACAAATGTAACTGGTGTTGGCCAAGCATCCCGATGCTGAAAATGTACCAGAAAATTTCTCAACTGGGATCACGCTCAGCAGCAACAACCCCTGCCCCCTACTGAGGAAACTTTGCAGCACCGGCACAATGCACAAGGGGGCAGTGTAGGCCAGCAACACGCCCTGCCGCCTTTGTCTCCCCAGCGTTAATGTTTACACAGCAGCAACAGGTACTAATTTTTAGGCCGAGTCGTCCTAGGGGAGGCATCGGGGCCGATTCAAATATTCGCCATCGATGTTGGCCGTGAGCGGGAATCGAACTCGGGTCGCCGGATTCGTCGTGCAACGTATGTACGAATGTAGAACTTCTTTTGCACCATACGTAGCCAACCGTGCTAATTGAAGGTGCGGTGGAAGGACAGTGCAGTACGCTAACCACTGTGCCACCGTTCCCCACTGCACCAACCTCAAATTCAAAAAGACAAAAATTCCCCATATAACCTATGAATGCTGGCACGGTACACGAGGGGGTGGGCGGCCAGCACCACGCCCAACCGCCTTTGTCTCCCAAGCGGCGATACTAACACACCGTACCAGATACTCATTTGAGGCTGAGTCGACCTAGGGGAGGCCTAGAACTGGTTCAGATAATTGTCACTGGTGTTAGCTGCGAGCAGAAATTGAACTCGGATCACTGGATTCATAATGCAACGTATGTACCAATGTGGAACTTCTTTTGCACCATACGTAGCCAACCGTGCTAATCGGAGGTGCAGGGGAAGGACAATAAACTAAACACAAAAAGCATTTCTAAAGAAAGAAGATTTCAATCTAGACGCACCAACAAATGCGCGCACAAACACGCACGTGCACAGCAGTCACATACCGTGCCAGAGAGCAGATCCAGGATGCGATGGTAGTAGTGCACCAGCCCGCTGTTTGTCGGGTCATATTTTGCACAAACTGAAAAGTGCAGAGATAAAAACATGAAACATAAATGTTAAATGAGCACGCAAACACACGGAGCAATGCGTGAGACATCTTTAAAAGCAAAAGAATACAAAATTTAACTCCTCGCGGGAGCCACCGAACAAATTCCTGTCCATGCGATTCGCAAAACTGCGCAAACCGCCTTCATTTCGAATCATCAGCCTGAAGGAACATGTGCGCTGGGGTATTTACTGAGATATTCCCTTTTTGTTCGTAGTCTCACACATCTCGTGCTTTGAACCTCTGCAACAAAAGTCATCGCTCGATTACGACCATTCCCTCAAGATCTCCCATTTCAAATACGCGCGATACGTCAACAGTAATAACGAGTGCTTTTGTTTTTATCGGAAACAGTTTGCATCAAACTGGCGAGACACAAATGTAATATGCGCACAGTTGTGGGAATGCCATGAACGTTTGGCTGCTTCTCAAACATAGGCTTCCATTCTTTTCTGTGCCAACATGCAGCTGCGGCCAACATTCTCTGTGACCGGTCCATCGAAGACATAATGCCACTTCTGAAAAACATCCCGTAAAGACAATGACCCGTTACTTCACATGCACTGGTGAAGAAAAATGGCAATTGCTCAAATATTACCTATTATATATACTGTATCACCTTAAGGCCACACAGTGGTATTGACAGACGTGTTGAGTATTTTTTTCTCCATCAGACCTTGGACGCTATGCAGGTTTCAGCGCGGTTAGTACTTGAAATGGGCACTGCCTGGGAATATCAGGTGTGGTTTGTATTGCTAGTTGCGCACCACTGCCAACAGCCGCATCACCACATAATGAATTTACCATACCGAAAAGACAGCTGCGGTTATTTACTTTTTGCGGCTTCAAAGAGCCGCACGGACGAAGCTGTGATGCTGTGATGCGAGCCAGATATGGGCCGTGAGTTGGATGCAGCGGCAGAGTCTGTTTGAATTGTGTCGCAGTGGTGTTGATGGCGGCAGTGTTGTTGATGGCGCGTGGCAAACAGCTCCATGTGAACGTTGGCCCAACGTTGGCATGTTTACCGGGTGGTTCCTATGGGGCTGTGGCTCAAGGTGGATCCACAGCTGAGTGATTGCTTATAAGTGGAAGGCTCTGTGACCACAGAGGTCCACTGTTTGTAGGCAAACAAAGGAAGACGAATAAACACACAGGCACGTCTGTTTGTTTGTTTCGATAAAAGGAGAGTGACAGTACAAACCTCTTTAAAAACACGTGCGGATCGTTGCATGACAACAATTAAAAGATTCTGCGGTAAAATCAACAGCCGTGTATTTATTTTAGAGATAATATAATTCGATCACGCATCGATAAAAGTATCCTTGCATGATCGAATTACATTATTTGTAAAATAAATGCACAAATTTTAGCGCAGCGATAAATCTCTTTTGCGGGAAACTATAAACAATCGCCCGATTTTTCGTATTTTTCCACTCTCCAGGTCAGGTCACGACCTCTCACAAAACAAACTTGTATTTTGGAACGAGGATTTTCTTTGCTTTCTAGTATTCTTTTTTTTAATGATTAGAGAAATGACAGACATTGTTGAATAAATCCAATAGCAATATTACGATGGTGATGACATATACTCTACCAATCTCAACTGGTCGACGTAAATCTAACGTTTTTAGGTGGCCGGGAGGCGCAGAGGTTCGAGCTCCGAGCTGGCACCATTGAGATGCTGGGTTCAAATTCAAGCAGACGGACGCGATTAAACCATCAATTTAACATTGGCTTGACACTGAATTTGGATATTTGGCCCGACTCTTAAGTGACAGATGGGAAAGTGCTGCCCTGTACTGATTTGCTTGATTGAAGGGATCTCAGAGGAAGCTCTGTGATATCTACTTCTGCATGCCGTTCTCGCGTGTCATGACGCAACGCCAATGGCACAATCAGGAAAACCATGATGGTGGGAAATATATGTATATTTGTTTTGGTATACATTTTATTTTTATATTATTTCACGCCGTCGACAGCGCTTACCAGGATTGATCGTCCGCTGTGCTTCTGCAGAGACGTTCGCGTTACTGTTTGCGTTTCTGTTCATGTCCGATGTGTCGTTGGTGGAGGCCAGGGCGGTGGTGGCCGAGGAGGAGGAGGGGTGGGCGACATGCTGCCCGACGATCGCTGGCACCGTGACGAAGCAGAGCATGAGAAGGAAGATGACGGCGTTGAGCACGACGAGGAACCTCAGAAAGGAGAAGTAGGCCTGGATCCCCGTGCCGAACTTTCCTGGTGTGGGCGGCGAACGGATAAACAGAGAGGCACGCTCGGCTGAGTTTGGACAGAAATACGTTTTTGATCTCCAGAGTACAAGCATGCCCGAAAAATAACCCGGGGGCGGATATCCCTTAAGCTGCACATAATGGCGGTAACATTTTTCAAATTCATTGGAGGAAAAAATAGGACGCTCCCCAAGTTCAAAACCTGAACGTGCAAAACGACGCTGACTGGTGCGAGCTGCATCCCCACGCCACACAGAAACGTCACGAACCAGGAAGTCCCAAGTTAGTACTGTAAAGAGTTGAAGGTGCAGCACTGCAATTTATTGCTCGCGCCACTGCCGGCGGAAGGGCCTCTACACGTGGGACCTCTAAGGAGATCTCATCTGTTGAGTGCCCCACTGGACGGTATGTTGGCCTACTCTTCCCCGGTGGCCAGATGTCTTGGAAGATGTGCATATTTTCTCAATTTACCACACCACCACACGTGACCTGCTCCTACTGTGGTTGAACCCATTTATGCCGCTGGGTGGGGCTTGGGAGGGTGTGGAATTTAAGGAACCTGCACCCATATTTTCATCTGCCACACCCATCACACCATGGTAGATTTAAGAATGCACCAACATTTCAGCAATTCAAGACAAAGAAAAAGACACCTCTCAGGGTTTGGTCACTCACCCTCAATCTGGTGGATTGAGGACCTCCAGAGCACTAGGCCCTTGAGCCAGGACTTGACCGAAGTGTTGAGGCGCTTGAGGCTCTTCCACTGACTGCGCTTCCAACCCTGCCACGTGGTCAGCTGCGCCGAGCTGTCCTTCCTCCGGGTCCTGTGTAAACGTGACGGCGCACTTCGTTACAAATCGGAGCACATGCATATTTAATAGATATATAGATACAAATAAATCCTTGTTGGGAGGGTTGACTCCGCTCATCATCCCTCCGGGGTTGATAAAAAAAAAGAGTACAGCTTTGCGGGGAAGTCCACCGTACTTTTTCTACGGTTGTCCAAATACCATTTATGATAAATCAATAAACATCTGAACTGTAGACATTGGCCTGAGTCAACACCTGAGTGATCAGTGAGTGGCATGACCAAACCATACTACTAAACAACCTCTGCAACTGCATTGTCCACATCTGAGCAAGTGGTAACACAACAAACGTGTCTGGCCATGCCCCTTTCCAGTATAAACCTGCCCCTTTTCTCGTTATCCCCCCACCCACATCGGGGTTGTGACAACCAATCATGTACAATACAATCAATCATGTACAACAAATCACGTGTACGCAAATGTGCAGCACGCGATGAAACACGATGCTACAAATCGCCAAGCGGGTCGACACTTGGAAGCCGAGTCTGCCTCTCTCCTGCGAGCAACCGGTTGCAGAGACATTGAACCGATCGCTCGGGGCGTGGAGCTACCGCCAGAGGGAATTGCTCACCGCTCCACCCTCTTGGCGGCCATGCACACGGTGATGTCTCGCACGGGTGCCGGGGCGGCCTGCGCCACGCCGGCGGCGTTGGGCGCCGAGTCGGTCCCGTCGCCGGCCGTGAGCTCCGAGGCCAGCGAGGCTCCGCGGGCGCGGGAGGTGCTGCGTCTGCGCGCCAACGTACGCGCGCTGGCGCGCCGGGCAACCCGCAGCGTCATCGTCATGGTGCGGTAGCTCGGCAGCTGGCGCAGGACCTCGTTTGCCAAGGTGCCGTCCGTTCCGCCTCCGCCATCACCGCTGAATACGTCGTCTGCAAGTTGTATGACAGTGGGGGAGAGACGGACACAAGCGGCATTGGAGTCACTCGTTTTCTGATGCTGTGCCCGCTGCCCTGCCCATCATTCTTAGCTGAAACCCAATTCCACAACATCTGGGCATCCCTTTTGTTGGTTTGGCCAAGTCCACTAATTGTTAGTGTTTGGATTCTTATGGGAGGAAACCAAAGAACCTGAAAAAAACCCACCACACAATGGAATGGGAGACACTCAAGTAGTCTGCGTGAGTTCAAGAGTGCAGTGCTGTATGTTTATTTCCTGGCCACTTTGCCAACCAAGCCCAAACAACACCTAGTATTCAAAAGCTGTATTGTACTGTACAAACCACGCTCATCCCTGCTTGGCTTCTTGGATCTGATGAGATTGGACGCATTCAAAGTTATTTGATTGCAAGAAATGTTGTGGTTTTAAGCAAAACATCTTATAAGTGTAAACAAAAAATTCAAAGCTAAAAGTGCATCTCTGCAATTATCCGCTCGCAGCACTGCTGGCGGAAGGGTTAAACAATGTCTCTTGACACTCCGCTAGAATATCCAAATACCTGCGTCTTATAACGTAATTGTCCGTTTTGTATACGAAGCAGTGGTTAGCGTATTGTTCTATGATCCCGATGACTTGCGTTCGATTCCCTGCCACAGATAACATTCTTACAAAGGGCAATGTACGGACTTCATTGAAATTTAATTCCCCCACATTGCCTTTAGAAACCATTAGGGCAAGGGCTGTCAGCAATGACCTTTGAAGGCCAACACGGCACACGAGGGGGTGGGTGGCCACCACCAGGCCCTGCCACCTTTGTCTCCCCCACTGATAATTGTTACACACCACACCAGGTACAGTACAGTACTCATTCAAGGCCAAGTCGACCTAGGGGAGGACCAGGACCGGTTCAGATATTCGTCACCCATGCTGGACATGAGTGCAGCGTGTTAACCACTGCACGACTGCTCCCCAGTTGGGAACTGTGAATAAGGAGTGGATCGACAAAGGTACAGCAGGCTTTACACACACCACACGCGCTGACCATTGCACGCTCTAAACAGGAAACAGCTGCGGGGCATTGAAGCAACCAGATAAGCGTGGCCATAGGTTTCACAAGCCAGGACACGCTAATATGCACAGCTTCTTAAAGGCTCAAGAGCCAGCACGTATTCACCGGTGGCAATGACCCATAGCCATTGCAAGTGTAGTGTCATAGCGCCGGCTGGTGGACAGCAGCGGCAACTGTGGTGGACAGACAGCGCACACGCCGGTGAGGGTGTGCGCGGTGTGTGGGCAGAGGGGGGGAACTTGGGCAAGGATTCACGGAGGACCCCATCTGGAGGCACCTGGAACCTGCTGGCGGGTTCGAGAAGGGAGGCGCGTTCAGGGCGGAGCCAGGCCGCGCTGGGAGCATAAAAGGAGCCGGGAGCGGGGAGCTTGAGGCTGCCGGTTCTGGGAATGGACTCATCTCGTCGTCGCTGTCGTCTGATCGCCGTCGTCGCTGAACGTCTCCGCTAGACGTTGCGCTACAAGATCGAAGTTGGCTATCTCAGTCAGCGCCGTCAGTCTTAGACGGCTGGTGTTGTGTACAGGCCCTAGGCTGAGAGGATGTGGACGAGACCGTGGAAGTTGTTAATAAAGGTGTCTCCTACAAGCTCTGTCTCTGAATCGTTGACACTACACAAGTATCGATTGAGTGAAAATAACCATATCCCCCAAACGTATTCCGATTGTGCTCTTGTGGCCCTGTAAGTCAACGTCTCACTTGTCCTGGTCTCTCGGTGCGGGTTCAAGCGTGCACTGCTCCACGCATCTCTTGTGACGAAACAAATTCTCCGATGATTTATCTCCATTTTATTTTGTAGACATTCCATTAGCCACACTGCAGGGCGATAACGATACACAGAAGCATCTCCCCTAGCCCATAGCTGTCCCCTCTACGGCAGTGGCGTCCTCCTGGTGGACTTTAATGCGGCCCTTGACGTTCGACGACCCGAACAATACACAAATTAGTGAAAACACCCCTATCATCATCTTCATCGTGTTGTCATAACTCCCCCAGTGATGATGATATCTCATCGGCAAAAGTGTGCACCCACCGCACCACTCTGAATATTAGTTAACAACTGTTACAGCAAGATATTTCTTTTCTAGACTCCCCACGAACTAAATAAGAAGGCCATTTTGGCGGAGTACAGGGGCGGAGCGATATTGGTTCAATGCAAGCAAGCTTCCTGTGTAACGCCGCCCTAAAGCACTTGCCCCGAAAGGCTGCGTAGGCTACACGGGGGACCTGCGCCTCTACTAAAGTTACGCGCAGAACACATCCGCTTGCTAAGTTTCGCTACTTTTGCTGAGCACATACCATAATGTAACGAAATGTTCGTACCGCAATGCTCCTGAGCGTTGTTAGCTGTTAAACACGCACGTTTTTGTACGGTTTACAAGGATGCGGTATTATGTAATGCAGTCTATACAAATAAATACAGTACGAAACGATCGTTTGCGTGTGTGTGAGAATCTTTTCCTGGGCCTTCCCTGGGTCGACTCAGCCTTAAATTGTTTAAAACAGCCGCTGTGTGGATGTGTGGATGTGTAAACATCGGCACCGGGGAGACAAAGGCGGTCGGGCGTGGTGCTGTCCACCACCACCACCTCGTGTGCCAGTGCCGGCCTTAATAGGTGCTCGCAAACAACACTTGCCCCAACAGCATGTTCATCCTTGTTCTTTGACGTGTGTACAATGTGTAAGCAGGCACTGTAACTCACCATTGCCTTCGCTGGCTTGAGTCGAGCTGACGGATGCCATCGCTGGCAGCTCTTCCACAGACGACACGGATATCTCACACCACTTTACTAACAAGATATTAACTTTATACACTACGCTACAATACTAATCATTCGCCCCGTGTCTCTCACGCATGTGCCGATTACTCTCGGCGCGTGTAGCAAAGCAGCGCTTCAATTGACTGCGCAAAGCTTCAACTCGTGAAGACGCTGGGGGATTGAGCCACACTCGTGTTGTTTATCTCTCTCTTGATCTGTCTCTCTCTCCTTATGTTTGTTATCTCTCTTGTGTTATACTACTAACCAGTCGATGTATCCGTCTCGCAGCACTGTACCGTCCTCGAGAGACGACGGCTGCGCTCACTCACTCGCTCGCTCCTCCCTCTGCACACACCTCGTGGTCCTACCCCCCCTCTCCTCCTCCTCCTACCTCTCGTCTCTTCAGTAAGGTCCCTTCCTTCCTTCCTTACTCGTTGGTTCTTTCGGTAAAGTCACGTAGGTAGAAATAAAAAAATTATATTATTAGAAATAAAAGATTATTATATTATTAGAAAAAAAAAATATTATATTAGAAATAAAATAATAATACTTTATTTTCGGTAAAATCACGTAGGTAGAAATAAAATAATATATTATTATACTGTATTATTATAAATAAAATAGTACTTTATTTCTACCTACGTGAAATAAAATAATATAATATTTTATTTTAAAGTCACGTAGGTAGAAATAAAATAATATAATAATACTTTCTTTTCGGTAAAGTCACGTAGGTCGAAATAAAATATATTATTTTCCTTTATTATTTTATTTCTACATACGTGAAATTAAATATTATATTATTATGTTATTTTATTTCTACCTACGTGACTTTACCGAAATAACCAAATAATATGGATTCCTGCAGTCACGAAAGCTTCAATTCTAGATGAGGACCCTTCCCCTCCACCCTCTCAGCAGCCCCCACTCTGCCCTTTCAGCTCTCCTCCTTTCTGCCCCCCCCCCTTCTCTCCGCTCTCCCCCCACCACCACCAACGACCTCCTCCGTCTACCTCCAACCTCCGCTAACTCCCTCAACGCGTGTCCGCTAACTACCTCAACACGTGTCCGCTAAATACCTAAACACGTGTCGAACACGTGTCTGGTCACAACCCCCACCGACCCCCACGCTCCTCTCCACGTCATCGCGCGCTCAGAGAGAAGCGATGACGTCATGTCGTCGGCTCGCCACCCCTCCGACGGACCCGACCGCAAGTGGCATGACGTCATCAACGCAGGTCGCATCCCAATGCCGATGAAGCCCGCCCCCCCTCCCCGACATTCGCCACGAAGTGGCGGTGACGTCACCACGACGCTTGTGCCAGGCCAGGTGCACCTGGAGGCCACGTGAAGTGTCGAAGGTTCGCTGAGAGGAGGTCTCAGGACAGACCCAGGTGGTGCCATGGGTTGGCTGAGATGACTAGGAGATGCACATCAGCTGTATGCCAACTTGCTTCGTTTTAACCGTACGGCGCTTCGCACGTTGTTGTGAGCGTCGCTCCTCTGCCCTACGTTGTTGCTGGAGGGCGACTGCCTCCACTTGCCCAGTAGCGTCCTTCACGATCCACCACCACCACCAACCACAATGGCTTTGTGCATTGTGGTGGCGGGCGAGGATGTTGCCAATTCGCTGCATTTGTGATGAGAGGCCAGAAGAGGGCAGTGATTAAGTATCGTGGAATGTCACCTACACTTCGCACGGTACCAATCGTTGTGTGCAACGTTGGTGTGCCTCACTAAACTGGCCGCACGCCTGCGGCTGAGAACTGTTGTGTAGATTACAGAAAGTCAAACAACCCAGCTGAATTTACGGTGGCGAGATGTTAACTACCTCGCCTGGTATGCAGGAGCTCGTGGGTTCAATCCCGACTCTGACGCCTGCTGTGTATTTGGAGATTTGCAAGTTCTCCCCGTGGTCGCGTGGATTTTTCTCCGGGTCCTCCAGTTTTCCCCTTCACATTTAGAAACATGCGTTTTGAGAATTTGACTGCTATACATTTCCACATGAAAGGCCACTTAATTGAGATATCATTTGAGGCCACGTCGCTTCTGAAAAAAAGCTATATACAGCTCAGTGGGCCTTATCTGGTAAAATAAATATAGATTTATATATAGTGTAGTATACATAATAGAGGGGTTTTTTCTACGCCTCTACATAAGGAACGAAACAGATTTCTCTACAAATCTGGCTGTCGCCTGATGAAGCTAGTTGTAATTACTGGCGAAACGTCGTACTCAGATTGTAAATGTTGTGGCTTGGCTCTCCAACTTACCAGTGTGCTGTACTAGTGACGAATTGGCCACGTTCTGTTTACGTGACAACTCTTACTAGTTGGCTGTGTCGGGTGGCGGCGGGTTTTAACGACACATTTATATATTTACGCGATCTAACTTGAAAAAATAACCTCTATTATGGATGATATTGGTCGCGAAAGCCTACGTGTTAAACAATACTATAGTATAGTTGTAAACCACACCATGATGATGAAACGCTATACACATCTAAATGTCCTTGTGTTTCCAGGGTCCTTGACCCATTAACATCTGAAAGTTTACGGGCATTGGCCTAAGCAAACCCGACTCTGCTGATGGTGCACTAAACATCGAAACCCGGCCCCAGAGTTTGATGGTATCGAATCGATGCTGCCGATAAGACGCACTCCCAAAAGCACGTACTGAAAGTGCAGCCCATGTGTTGCGTAACGAATTCCTCGTGTGGAGAGATAACACGGGGAGGAATCGTTCTTTATTTTGTTATTGGCTACTTTAAGTTCGCACGCGGACATAAACAGAAGAAACAAATTCCATCTTGCAGGTTTCACATTCCGTTCCGCAGAGAGAGGCTCACTCACATCAGCCATCCTGCTTTCAATTACAGCATGGAGTGATCATTCCCTGCAGCAGCGAGCTCATAAGCCCAAATTTCCTGAGTTCGGAAACCCAGCTCGAGACAACTCAGCACATTACCACCTCCGTGGGGTGGTGGATAAAATTAATCACTGTGTCAATTGTGATACACCGGTTGCCACATGTAGGGAAAGTTCATTTCTGAATGGGTTGTTCGCAACATTCATGTATAGGTGTGAATGTGCTGTGATGTCCGTGCGTGTTGCCCTGCCTGTCTTGATCCACAGGGCGCCACGGTGAGATATTAACTACGTCACTTGGTATACAGGAGGTCGTGGGTTCGAACCCGACCCTGACACCTTTATATTTAGAGTTTGCACGTCTCTCCCTCCGTGGTCGCGTGGATTTTTCTCCGGGCTCCTGGGTGCTTTACATTTCCACGTAATAAATTATTTTATTTAGCTATAATTCATAGCCAGGTCACTTCTGAACCAGATAAATATGATAATTTTATTTTATTATGTTTGATTTTTATTTAATTTTTATTTCCCTTCTACGTGACTTTACCGAAAGAACCAAGAAGACAGAGCAATATAGTTCAGAAGACCTTTATACCTTGTAGAATAAAATCAAGAATAGTTAGATTTATCCTGTTCAGTACACTGTATGAATGTGTACGTGATATATGTGTATTGACAATAGAGCCTGCATGCGGTGTGAGGGGACTAGTGGCCACGGAAGGTAATGACAGGGGAGTCAGTTGTGAGTGCGACGAGACTGGTGGCCACGGGAGGTAATGACAGGGGAGTCAGTTGTGAGTGCGAAGAGACTGGTGGCTATGGGAGGTAATGACAGGGGAGTCAGTTGTGAGTGTGAAGGGACTGGTGGCCACGGGAGGTAATGACAGGGGAGTCAGTTGTGAGTGCGAAGGGACTGGTGGCCACAGGAGTTAATGACAGGGGTATCAGTTGTGAGTGCGAAGGGACTGGTGGCCACGGGAGGTAATGACAGGGGAGTCAGTTGTGAGTGTGAAGAGACTGGTCGCCACGGGAATGTTCGAGAAGGGAACGTGGTCAGGCGACGGAAGAGGATGGCGGAATCTACCGGTGGAGCGAGCGTCCAGAGTCAGCGAGAATGTTCGAGAAGGGGGGCGTGGCCTCGTGTCGGTATATAAAAGAGGGAGATGCACGGGGGACTCGGGTCTGTTGCAGTGGGGATCTCTGCCTGATGTCAAGTGAACGTGTCTTCAATAAAGTACCACCTCAAGAGAAGTGTTTCAAGTCGTCATTACATATGTAAACGCATTTCACTGTGTCTATATATTGTAGATTTAAGACGTGTGTCTGTATGTGCTTGCCAGGTGTCATTTATCGGGAAGCCTGACTCACTATCGGGCAGGACGGGGGTGGAGGTTGGACATAGAACTGTTTTGCGGGGGTCACCGTAAAACAATGATAGCCCCCGCTAATGAGGTGGAATTAAACTTGGGTGGGAGGCTAAAGGAACAATTGGAAGTTTAGGGCCCACTCCAGCAACCCGATGACATCCGCCCTGGATCATCACGTGTCCGCTATACACGAGTCACTGGACAGCCTTGCAAAAGAGATGTCCCAACTTCTCAGGTGATTCATCCAGACTAAATATTGCAATCAATAAGGGGCGCTGCGGGATTCCTTACGCGAGGTGCCGTATGGTCTGTTGCCAAAACGTGGTCTTGTTGCATCCGCATGTACGCAGTTAGTCGTCAGTAACATTCCAGTGAGAATGCACTCTGTTTACCCAGGAAAGCATCAGTGAGTGCTACATTGGGATGTTTGACCGACTCCGTTGTACAGGTTGGTCCAGATGTCTCGTGACCCTCCTCCCCTAATTAATTGACCCCTAACATTTTTCCTTTGCATATTCATTTATGTTTTAAACAGACCTTACAAAAATATATTGCGTTTTAGATAATTAAATGGGGGGTCACAGGACATCTGGACCACGCTTTCCAGTATTTAAAATCCGGATGATACGGGATATGTATTCTATGTAACGCAACTGGTGCTGTCAAAACCATTCTATACAGTCTGCAGACAGTTGATTAGAGTTGAAACATGTCTAGGTTGTCTACACATTAACCGCACGCTGGTTTCTGAGTCAGAAATCGCCCACGCAAATGTTTGGCTGCAGAAGCGATAACGCATTCCACAAACGCCACGGTCTTTGCACCTCTCAATGCAACTGGTTGGCTCGGTTACACACAGTCACTTCTTCACACCATCATCATTATCGTAATCATTATGAGTCGTGGTCTATCCACTTTGGATCGCTGTCTTCACGTGTGTGTGTGTGTACTCGGCAGGGAGCTGTCGTGCAGTGGTTAGTGCAGTGCCCTACGAACCCGGCGACCCGAGTTTGATTCTGAATGAGTACCTGGTGCTGTTTGTAAACATCGCCACTGCGGAGACAAAGGCTTTGCTAGGGCGGGGTGCTGGCCAACCACCCCGTCGTGTGCCCTTCCGGCCTTCATAGGTGGTCGCTAACAGCATTCGCCCCAGCAGTCTGTGAAAGGCTACACGGGAGATCCTTGTTTTTTTACTGTATCTTTCTTTATGTTGTCCTCAAATTATTATTATTATTATATGAGTGTGGGATACAATATTCTTGATCTTTAGTATGGATTCATAGCAGAAGCAGATTAAAGATTCAATTTTAGATGTGTTATCCACTCAATTGTCTGTTCAGACGCAGAGTGGATCTCGTCTGTTCCTCCTTTAAAAGGGTGAAGACAGCAGCTGTTCACAATGTGGTCGATCGTTTGGGATTGGTGGGTACAATAATCGATTATTGTGTATAGACGTATCTAGTGAGAAGAAATGAAGCGATACCCTTAATAAGTGTATATATGTGTCTACTG